GAGACATAAAATGTTGAATACTCATTTGAAATTATAAAAAAAAAAAAAAAAAAAAGATACTGTCACTAATTTTCTGTTGGAGATCGTCTTGCACAACCCAATATTGTATTTTGGTAGCCTACCGCATTAGCTAAATGACTATCTAAAAGACGTTTTAAACAAAACATTACGTTTTTGTATTATATTTTTGATGTCTAAATATATGATTATCTTGTAATGTAAATTTTGTGGTTACCGAAACACTTTGAAACCATTTTTAAAACGTATAACTCAATGTAAATGGAACACTCCCAAAGCTATTTATTTTGATATATAACATTTTAAAACATCTGCCTGGTTTGTATATAGGTAGCTTAATATGCAATTTCCTGTCGTTTTTTTTCTGGTTAAGTGTTAAATAACTGTCTGTATGAGTAACATCTGCACTTAGAGAGAAGGAACACACAAGTTCTGCACTTCTGCTAGAGTGGCAAAGCATGCGGCAGGAAATCCAACTGAGATCAACTGGCTGGAAATGTGTGGTTTCTCTCGCTCTCTTTCTCTCTCTAACACACCATATAAGAATGCTTGTTTCTATTAAAGCATTTTGCAACACCCAGACAAAATTTTTCAAGCACATACAATTTGATTAAGCTGGTTCCTGCTCAAGTTCATGGATGTTCAAGCTTTGATAATATGGTCCGGGTTAGGAAGTAATGTGCTCAGAGCGCTTATAGTTCGGTGGGGTTCCCCCTGCGCAAATCTTTTATGCACCTGCAGGAATCAGGCCAACACCTCAAGCCACATAAGATGCATCAGCTTGACAAAAAAATTCTCCATGTGTTTTTTGAATGTTTTAAGCAAGTTTACGTTTAACAAAATGGTAAAAGTACAGAGATGTACACTGTAAAATTTACGGTAGAAAACCGGCAGCTGTGGTTGCCGGAATTTTACCGTAAAAAATACGGTAGCAACGTTTTAGGTTTTACGGTTGTAACTTAAATTTACAGTTAAATACCGTAATTTCATTAACTGATAAAATGTTATTATATACCAACCTATTGAAGTACTAAAATCTGTTTTGTACCTTTGTAATACACTGATAACCACCAAATGCAGGTGGTGATGAGAAAGTCACACGATGAACCAAAGCCTATCACAAGCAGCTTTTAAATAATAACATATATAGAAGGTGCACAGTGTCATTCACACAAACACCAAACACCATCATGGTAACACACATGAAACTGAAATAATGCAATAAACATTCATTTAACAACATTAATGTGCAACACACAACCCTAATATACAAAACTGATAAGAAAAAACTAAAAAGAAACATAGTTATTTAAAAAAAAAAAACATCAAATTTGAAATGTAATGCAGGGAATTATGGGAATGTCAATTTACGGTTATTCACTGTAAATGATACGGTCTTTTTCACTTCCAAAAACAGTATACTACCGTAAAATTAATGTCCAATACATGTAATGTCCAATACAGTTTTTCACCGTATATAGTAGGGGAATTTACCGTTAACCATTTAACAGGTTTTTACTGTAGCATTTTTACAGTCTTTTACCGTTAAATTCACGGTCATTTTTTACAGTGTATAGGCAGAGAAGAAAGAAAGAAAATATGAAAAAGAAAGAAAATGTGACCCCTCATTTCTAAGAGCCCTCTGAAATAGCTGTTGTCCAGGTGGATCTGAGCTGCGGTAACTCTGGGCTAACTCCTTTTCTAACTCCCTTTCTGACAAATATCCTTCCTTGTCTGTCAATTATTAAGTTAGGCTTCCTGACAGAACACAGAACACGACCTCAGACAGGTCAGAATGCAGAAGTAAATGGAATTCCGCTGCTGTATCCTGACCGTCTGTTATATAATTATTGTCCAGTACTGTCTATAAACGCATGCCATTATGTGTTGGTCACTCAGCTGGTCATGCTTGGCTTGATGCACAGTAAAGGTCCTAAAAGGCATCAATTTAGCTAGGTTACACCATAGAAAAGTCATTTTGAGAGTCAGATCAGATAGAAATATCTCCTATAAATTTTACAGTGCTTTTTACACACTGAAAAAAAATGTTTCATTCATCCAATTAAAAAAATGTAGGGGTAATGATTCACATCTATATATTTTTAACTTGAGCCAATGAAAAATAAATAACTTGTACTAAGGGCAAGTTATTTATTTTTCATTGGCTCAAGTTCAAATATAAAATATAGAATCATTACCCTAAAATCAGTGCAGTGTGCATGTGCTGGAGAATGAAATACTAAAGATGCATATAGTACACTCCTTTAAAATGTAATTTGTAGGTTTGAGTATGAAGTTTAGCACTTTTATCAGCACATGATGTGCTTTTTGACTGTAAGATTGCTCTGATAAAACTAGTCAGAACTTGGTTTTTTTTTGCACAGAATGAGGCGAAGATGGTGGGGAACTGTTAACGTTCTCTTCTGGGTCTTTTCTTAGTTTCAGCAATGAATTGAGTCATAGAATTGGCAGCGAGGCGATTTTATAATTGCGTTTCATTAGTTTGTGAATCATTCTATGTTCCTTCTAGAATAAAATGAGCACTCATGCTACTGATATTTAACAATTTAAATAGCAGGTTTGAAAGCAATTTCAACACCACATAACAGACCTTGTTTTGGCAGAAAGGTGATTATTTCCATTTTATGCATTTTATGAAATGAATGCTTTACTATACAATCAGCAGTGTATGAGAAAAGACTAAGAAGTAGTTTTGATACCTGATTGAGATGTTATCTCATTAACATTTCTGCCTAATATATCTGGCAGAAGGCATCTACAACGGCATCCTGCTTCCTTCCTTCAGTGGGAGACACCCGCTCACACCTGGAAGAGAACACACATTGGTTTAGGGGTAAGATTTTGTGCAAGGGACATACAGATAATGATTGCATGATTTTGTGCCTTTTCTGTGCCTTTTCGTGGAACATCACAGTCAGATAGTGTTGCCACCCGTCCCTTAAAGTACGGAATCGTCCCATATTTAAAGGTAAAATGATGCGTCCCGTATCAAAACAATACGTTTGAATGGGTGTCCCTTATTTTGCCTCGCTGAAGGTGGCAACCCTACAGTCAGATGTCCCCACACATGCACGGTCACAAAATGTTATCCAGTGTGCTCATACATGAGAATAATCTCAGTTTTGCTCAAACAGTGTTTCTTGTTGGTTGCTTGATGTCATTTCAGAACTTTCAGTTTTTCAAAGTGCAACTGAACAAACAAGTAAGGCAAGAGACCAGCTTAAAACTTCACAGCATTACTTTTCATTAGAAGTAGATGATTGTATGGATTTGTATAGACTAGATGTCTTTTGACTATACGGTATGTACCAAACTTATATTTATAACTATGACTGTAACTCAAATCACTATTTTATCCTAAATGAATGAATTAAATAACTTAATCAGTGTATATGTAGTCTATTTGCACTACAGAGTGTATTTCTGTTTACAATCCTTCATGCTCTAAGACACACAGAGGCAAGTTATCTGACACGTTATGTGCATCTAAATGGTTTCCAAAAGACTGACCTGGTAAGAGGGAAGATAAAAATTTACATGAACTGAATTAACAAATCAAGATTTATTTATTGTCCACTATATGAACATTCTGCATACATATACACAACCATTTAAACGTTTGTGGTCATTAGCCTACATCTTTTTTTTTTTATTTAAGAAATGAATACTTTTATTCAGAAATTATGAATTAAATTGATCAAAATGAAAATAAAGACTTTTACATTGTACATTAAAAAAAATAAAACGAAATTGTGTTCTTTTTGAACTTTCTATTAATCAAATAATCCTGAAAAAATCATGGTTTTATTAAGCAGCAGAACTGCTGTCAACACTGATAAAAATAAGAATCATTACTTGAGAACCAAATCATCATATTAGAATGATTTCTGAAGGATCATGGGATACTTACGACTGGTGTAATGACTGCTGGAAATTCAGCTTTGCCATCACAAAAAGAAATTACATTTGAATATATTGGGGAAAAATGCAGTAATATTTCACAATATTACTATTTTTACTGTATTTTTGTTCAAATAAATGCAGCCTTGGTGGGCACAAGAGACTTTTTCAAAAAACATAAAAAAAAAAAACCTTACTGACACAATTACGTGTTCTTAGACAGAAGGTATTAGGTAATTTCCTGGTTATATATGCAATAAAGTTCCTGGTGTGCAATGTTTTTATGGCAAAGTGAGAACAAAGTGAGTGAGACATGTCTTTTTCTCTGTTTGAAGTCATGTCTCCTTTCTCCTGTTGGCACTTTTTATTCTTGAGCTCTGTCAAATGACATTTCCTCTTTCTCTTGGGGGTCCCCGTCCCCCTAACCAGCCCCCTATTAAAAAAAATAAAAAAATAAAATAAAATACAACTTTATATACATACGTATGATGCAATTTTTTTTAATTTTTTTAGATTTTTGGCGGGTAAAAATTAACAAACATAAATGACACAAAAATGTCATTTATTTTTATGTCATGACCATAAACAGAAAAAGAAGGTCCGGCTACTAAGTGCCTGTTCACACTAAACGAGCTTTCATATTTCACTGCACTCTTTTCCATTATTTTCTTTGTAAATGTTCTAGATAGACCATTACGCCGTTCTAAAAACGCGTCGCTCAAGTTAAATTCAACTTTAAAAAACGCTTCTCGAGTCATAATAACCTAACAATTAACCCTGGGTATCCATAAGCTGATGTTTCACACTGTACATTTCTAACCCCTGGGTTACTGTTCTTATTAGCACATTTGT